ATTATAATTATACAATTGTTTACAGGTTTTTAAGATGCTTATTAGCTTCATTATTAAAAAATGGACGGTTAATCTAATTCGAGATATTAATTTCAGCATCAGTTTATGATTGCGTTTCAAGTCCGACAAATCTTACCAGCGTGAAATTTATAAAACTGAAATAATATACTCCCTCTTGCAAAAATTTACATTTAGTATTACTAAGATCCGCTTTGATTGAAAATAGGATTATTTCTATTTTTATTAATTCATTATAAAGATTATATAGCTAAATATATATGATTAATTGCGTAGCTGAATAGTTAATTATATTTCATCGTACATGTAGAAAGTTTTCTTTTAAAATTTATCCTGAAAATATGGTAGCTGTAATACAATACAATATTTTAAAGATTTTTACATGCATTTTAATAAAATTGATCAAACGTTTTTATACTTTATTGTAGTTTTATTAATAAATGAGAGAGATTTACATTAAAAGTGTTCGAAATATAATTTTGTCCTACGGCTATCATGTTTTCAGGGTAAATTCTAAAAAAAAATTCTCTCCGTGTATATTTATAATCACATAATGCGAGATGCTTATGTATATATAAGATAAATATAAAAATAAGAGTTTAGAAAAGCTACAAACCAAAAAACAGCAAAATAAAAGTGCAAATATAAGAAACAAATATAATTATCATGATCTAAACAACAAACGTCGATTCAAACCCGATCAAGTCAATGTTACATATAATATAAACATAATTAAATAGAACAGATAAACTAAAATAATGTACTTAAATTAAACGGGTCAACTAATAACATAATAAAAAACAAATAGCCATCTAAAATCGCATCCTATCATCATGAATCTGATATTACGTTCGCAACATTATTGCGTTAGAAGTCAAAATAAGTCCATATTTATGTCAAAGTGCGCAAAATATTCGCAAATTCAAAAATCTTAAATTTATAAAGTTGCGGTGGCCATTGATAAAAATACTTCCATATGTTATTACATTTTTTCTACCAAGAATGACATTAGTAAAGGAATATAAAATTTGGAAGCAGTATTGCGAAGAACCGTCTTTGTTTGCTGGCTGTGATACTGGAAGTATTACTTTGTGTATCACAGCCAGAAGACAAAGACGTTTCTTCGCAATACTGCTTCCAAATTTTATATTCCTTTACCAATGTCATTCTTGGTAGAAAAAATTTTTGTACTAATTAATATATGGAAGTATTTTTATCAATGGACACCGTAACTTAATAAATTTAAGGTTTTTGAATTTACGATGCTTGCGAATATTTTGCGCACTTTGACATCAATATGGACTTATTATCAGTGGACGTAATATCAGATTCATGATGACAGGATGCGATTTTATAGATG